TTATAACCGAACTACAGTTTTATTGATCAGATATATGCTGTAATTTGGGTGCTGTTCATATATAACAAAAACACATTCTCTGTTTTCATTTTTTCTGAGTTTTATCCGATTGAAGATTTCGATAGCACCATCGAAATATTTCGATCTGAAAGTGTTTACACGACTCTCAGATATACTGTGATCCTTAAATTTTTTTTCTAACAGTTCCATCGTGGACGCTTACTTCTCTCTAGATCCGTACGATTACCAGCAGAATGCCGGAATTCGATTAGTGGCAAAGAAACTGATTGTTGAATCTAACTGAAAAAGTGTTTTGGTGTATACATCATTAGCTGACTGTTACTTTTGATGCTTGTAAAGAAGGGAAAGTAATTTATTTCATTGTTGATGTAGAAGATGAACAACTAATTCTAGCGTTTCAAATTGATTAATGCAAAATGCTATTTCTTTGTTGTCTCAAAATTTTTTGTTCAAAAATGTATATGTTATCATGAAGAAGTAAGACTGTGGCCTGTAGCTCAGTTGGCAAAGGGATGGAGTGATTTTGCCCAAATCCAAGACAGGTCCCGGGTTCGTTCCCAGCCCCCGGTTTGAGTTTGCCAAAAAATAACCCCTAACATTGGTGTGCTTGGAGGTGGGTTATGTACAAGGCCGGTTAGGGTTGCCGATAATTAACTTTTTATCCAAAAAAAACTAGCAAATATAGGTCTTTTTGGGCTCCTCATAGTAGGGTGTTAGTTCGGTTTTCCTTAATGACATTAGGGTTTTTGGTAGTTATCTTCAGATGGGACATGAAAGGGGGACCCTTCAACTTGTTTCGACCTGAGATAATAAGCTCATGAGCTTGGTTGACAAGATAAGAATATTTGTCCATCAGTTTTCGAATAACAAGATATTGAGGAATTGTCCATGCATAAAATCATAATTATTGATTCTTTTTCCGAGTGCAGGATAACCCCAAGGGGTTGGCCAGCCTCTTTTTGGGTTTCCATACCTTGGGACTTTATGTTCATAATGATCCTTGTCTTTGTTTATGTCTTGGGTTGGGATGAATTATAGTTTTGTATAAATGTATTGTCATATGCTATTAAGTATTTTGATTTAAGTTCTTTTCTTAGGCCTTAAAATGAAAGACAATTCTGAATCCGCTTTGTCTACGAAGTACCTTTTCGAAATGCTGGAGAGAAAGATACATCTTAGGTTAGCGGATGCATCGGATGGACATCAAGTGGTTGATATAATCATCTCTTTAGTGGATTATTTTAATGCAAGGGTTCATATTTGTTTTATTCCATAAAGTAGAGACCTAGAAACAGGTTCACGCTCCAAGATTGATTGAAATGCGCTCAAGCTGGTCTGCACACTAATGTTTAAAAAGAACATAAGAAACCTGGTTTGTACCAGTTTTACAATACACGGATACGGTCCTATGATCAAATTAACTTTGATTATTGATAAAATAAAATTTAGAGGTGGCTAAAAACCTGCCCTTTAACTAATTTTAACTGGAGTTATAACCGGTTCTTTTTGAAAATAAATCATAACGAGGTATAATTGTAATATTCGGGTTACAAGTTTTAATTTGAGATTTTGGAATATATATATATATATATATATATATATATTTGTGTAAGAGTGTGTGTGTGTGTGGGTGTACTTAATTTATTATATAGTTTGTTAGGAGAAGGGAGGTCGGCTGATAGCCAGCTCTCACAATTCCATTTACTATAAATAGTAAATAAGGTTTTAGAAAGAAAATTTACACATTCTTGATATTGAGGAAAATTCTTACTTGACGTCTGGATTTGGCTGAGGAAGGAAAAAAATTCAAAAACCAAGGACATTTGGCTTTAAGGTGAGTGTATATTGCTTTAAAGTATTGGTTATTACTTATTTTACTGCTAGAATCTGCTATTTATGAACCACATTTCATAAATATTTGGTTAAGTCCTTAAACCGGACAAGGAGTGTCCGGAGTTCTCCTTAAACCGGTTAAGAGGTAACCGGATATTTCCTTAAACCGCTCAAGTTATGACCGGATATCTACCTAAACCGCTTAAGTGTTGAACGGATATGTTTTTAAACTGCTCAAAGGACAGCCGGATTCTCTTTAAATCGCTCATGTGTTAACCGGCTTAAAGCTAACCGCCCAAGGCGTGGTCGATGTAACCCTCTTGATATTTTAAGTGTTTGTCCGGACTTCATATCCGGACAAGGTTGAACGGACTTCAAATCCGGATAATGTGTTAGATTTTTTTTTTGATATAATTGAGAGAGATGAAATGGCGGTGTAACCGCGAGAGAGAGATGTAATGGCGGTGTAACCGCGAGAGAAATGAAATGGCGGTGTAACCGCGAGAGAGAGATGTAATGGCGGTGTAACCGCGAGAGAGAGATGTAATGGCGGTGTAACCGCGAGAGAGATGAAATGGCGGTGTAACCGCGAGATGAATGAAATGGCGGTGTAACCGCGAGAGAGATGA